TCAAGAAAAACGAGAAAAAACAAAAAAATAAAAATAAACTAAAAAGACATGAAGAAGAAAAGAAAAAAGAAAAATAAACAACGGGAGTTTGTAAAGTTACAGCTAGCTTGAGATGGGAAAAATACCAGTACACACGCAACTTTCATTAATCTGTTAATGGACATTTTATAAGGAGTAAACGTGTGAAAGAAGAGTGCGTCGAGTGATCAGTAGTATCAGTTTAATTTAATGAGAAGAACTACCAAATGAACATTAGTTCCGTCTCTATAATGTAGCCTAAAACTCGCTCAAACAATGTCTGAATTTTTTCCTGCTCCAATGGTAAGACTAATTGATGTCTTAGAAGAAAATGATCCGCGGTTAGGGTTTGAGTGTTAAGTATATTTCCAAACTCTCGAACTAGTTTATTTAGTTCCATATCATATCGTGCACAGTCCATAGAAAAAGCTGCAGTTTATTCGAATATACGAATCTTATGTGTAATACATGTCGAATCATGATTTTTACCTATTGTTCGTCTCATGCTAAACTGTTATCTTATCAGATTTCCTTTTTTCTGATTTTTAGATTCCAGAATCAAATCTTCATCAACATTATTTAACAGAACTACATCGAAGGTGTTTAATGGTATATATTCATCATCATATTTTAAGAATTCATTCACCGATAAATGAAACAAACAGTGAATTATATTCAAAGGTCATAGATAATTTGAATGAGAAGAATAATCAAATGTATGAGACGCTGAAGATTCTGACGAGTGGAATAGAAACGTTAATTACAGATTCGACAAGTCTGAATAATGGATATTTACAATTGAAAAGCTCGGTAGACGTATATCGTGAAGAACATTTAAAATTGCGGAAATCTGAGGAAGAAAAAAATGCATTAATAAGTGCTGTACAACTAAATCAAGAAATATTACAACAAAGTTTAACAGATTTAAAACAGACTGTGGAAAATGTAGAGCATATTTCGTACAACGGCACGTTTATTTGGAGACTGGAAAATATTGCTCAACACATGGCTGACGCACTATCAGACAAGCAACTGAGTCTTTATTCTCCACCATTTTATTCGTCTCCAACAGGATATAAGATGTGTATGCGTATACATTTAGGTGGAGATGGTCATGCTCGTAAATCGCATATTTCACTCTTCTTTGTTCTAATGAAAGGAGAATATGATGCTATCTTACAGTGGCCATTCCATTTTAAAGTTACCTTTTGTTTGTTCGATCAATCCGAACAACGGCGACATATTGTCGAGTCATTTCGACCTGATGTTAGTTCAACGTCATTTCACATTCCCTTGACTACGATGAATGTGGCATCGGGTATACCGAAATTAATCATAAGGTGCGTAGGCTAACGAGTAATGGAACAGTTTTTGAAGGTATGAGCACTTGATCATTTTACTCAAGGGATTTTTTTCATAAGAGCAAAAAGACTCTTCCAACAATGATTTGCTAATTTTGTTTTAATCAATAAACTGGAATGCGCGCCTTAGCTGCGAGAAAACTGATACTTTTGTCAACTCTACCTGATTGTTCGTTGGCATTACGCATAAATGAATTTTCACAGCTACTTTTTCTTGATTAGAAACGATGACCCATGGGACTTTCAGCTGTTCTTATCTACATTTACTTTGATTTTACGATGGTTATTTTCGTTTACCTATCTTTAAAGAAACATAGACAGAGATTATATCATCTTTCACGAAAATAAGATAGTTCTACTTGGGCAATACACACCTCAGCTGCAGGCAGTTAAGCTCAGATATGTGCTAATTGCATGTGCAGTAAAAGAGCAAGTACTCGAATGATCACTTGAATATGTCGATGAAACTTTTGAATTGATTTAGGTGGACCTTTAATATTTAAAGATACAACTAGATAACTATGTACACATATCGTGATTTTTGTCCACAAAGCACTCTACAAATAGCTGTGTAGTAGCAAAATCAATCATCACTACCCATGAGGGTAATTTTTGTTGAAAACTTGCGATATATCGAGATATTATGCTAAATGTGCTGAAATATCGCGATAATGAGCAACTCTGTCGCGATATAAAAGTGAGTGCAGTTTATCGCAGTCTCTC